TAAATTAGACAATAAAAATTGTATTTAACAAATTTGCTTTATTTTCTGGTGAAAAACAATAGATTATAAGCAAAGCTTTGAAAGAATAACATAAAATATAATAAATATTACAACATAATTTTTAATAGAAATAAATTAATTTTAAATGAACTATTTCAGGCCATGTACCAAGCTATTGTTGATAGAGTATGTGATGAAGATAAAGAACACAAAACAATGTGAGATAATTACTATATAAATTTAATTTTAAAAACTCTTTTAATTTTATAATTTATTATTTTGTTTACTTGAAATAAACAACATGTAACTTAATTTTACATAATTTAGAGATTTTAATTATTTTAATTTATTTTTAAAAAGTAGTAAATTTAGAATTCTTAGCATTAATAAAATTCAAGCAACATATATTTGTTTATTTATTTTAACATATCCTAAACAACAAGAAACAAAATGAAATAACTTGGAAAAAGTTGACTTTTGCTATTTGATGGTATGAGCATTGATTTTTGTAAAGTTTGCTTCAGAAATTTTTAAATAAATATAATAAAATGCATAAACTGTATAAAATTGAATGAAATAAATGGATGTCCATTAATACAAAGTGTCAGTTTTTATAAGTTCCTTCAACTTCGTATTAACATGGTTTGATTGTACAAGTTTATTTTAAGTAAACATTCTTTTCCCATGTATACATTTTTATATGAGTATACTATCTTTACTTAATATATTATTTTCACAAGCAAAGCTGGATATCGCAGCTAGTTAAGCTATAAAAATAATTATATTTAAATCTGTTTGGATTCTGAAATGATCATGAAAATTTATTTTTTATTTTTTAAAATTTTAAATGAAGTCTAGAAATTCATAATAATAAATTATGACCATTATATGAAAATTGTTATTATTACAGTAGAGCATCAATTATCTGAATATCGATCAACCAAAACGTCAATTAACTGAAAGCATTCCACTCGGCAAATTTAAATTCCACTAGTGCTGTGGCGCTGCAATCTTTGGCTATATCTTGGGCTACGACAATATTTTTTTGTTGTTGAACATGTTTTAGTTGGCAGTGCCGGCACTTTTGTGTGGTGTTTTTCTGAGGACTGTGTGTTGTGCTGAATCGAACGTTTTTGATACTAGATTAACTTCTAAAGTATAATTTTTTTTTGTTTTTATATTTTTCAATATATTTATTTTGTTTGTAAAAAATAAAGAAATAATTTTTAACGATGCAATACCATGATTATTATTTTAAAAAGTTTACATTAGGCTTAACATTGATGAAAATTCAATTCAAAGCGACATGCAATGGAGAAAAATTTCAACATGGAATAGGTTAATATATTTTTTCATACATAATCGGTTATCCAAAAAATAAGTTATCCGAACAACCTCAGCTCCCAATTAATTCGGATAAACAACGCTCTGTTGTATATAACAATTATTTTGTTATTAATAATTTAAGAAAAATAAGTAAAACGTAACACATCAATTGTGTTTAAAAGTTTTTTCTTTGTACATGATATTCATTTTTCTTTAATATATTCTCTTCGATAAAATAAAAATCGAAGGATCCCAAAAAGTAATTCAATTGTAATGAAACATCATATTCAAATATCTTTTGACTGAACAAATGATAAAAAATTAATACCCAATGAATGAATGGTCTGAGCTACAGTGCATTGGAATTGCCCATCATGATAGTGTATATGAAGCATGATTATTTCTTTGAGAGACCAAACTTCCAGTGGGTTTAATTTCACTGATTATTGTTGATTGTGAACAATTCCCCACCATCAAATTCATTCCCATTACAACCATATGATTGAGTATAAAAGATGATGTGTCATCAGACTAAGAAAGTGGATGGACAGATTGACATATTTTTCAACATTTGGGTCAGAATGATGTGGCAATATAATATGCTGGTATGAATAGATCTTGAATGGCAAAGTCCAGAGAAAAGCAGAATATTACTTACTCCTTTCCACATAAAATATTAATAAAAAAATGTATTCAATTGACAGATAATAGCTTATGATATATAGCCTATGAGTTAACAAAATTCTAAAAAAAAAATATGAAAATCTAGAAGAAATTTGATTTTGAATTCTTTATTTAAGAAAGTGATAAGTGCATTACATTCAAATAAGTTTAATAAATATACCTGTTCTTTCAATTGTGTATAAATATTTCTGAATTAAATACCACTAATTATAATTAGATATAGTAAAATCTGTGTAAACCGGAATCGCTTCGAAATAAAAACTTCTTCCGTGTCCGCCTTAGACAGGTTTATAGTAGAATTTAACATTGAAAATCGCTTCTTTAAGAAGCCCTTTTCCGTATTATACAGGTTTTTCTGTATATATACATAACTTTAAGCAAGAAAAATACCTTATATGATTTTATTAAAATAGATTTGGTGTCTAGATATTAAATTATGGGAAGAATTTTGAAATAAAATTTTATTTTCTAATGCTTTTTATCGCTATAAATTTATATTTTATTTCGAGTCTTTAATTAAATACTTCTATTTTCTATTTTCTGAACGTTTCATAGCAACTTCAAATAATAAAATATTAATTTGATGTATAAAAATAAAACACGATAAAAAATAATTATACGCATCATTAGAGAAATAAAGCATCTTTATTAATGTTTCCAATTAAAAAAATAATTAATTACTACATAATACTACAACAAAGGTTGTTTTATCCTAAGAAGTAAATCTATAGCTATATATAAACAGGTATGAGTAGCTTAAGGATGAGTATACATTCCAAGAAATACATCATTAAGATCGTAGAGTGTACTGTACTTAGACGAGTCTTATATGGTATAGTCGATACTCATAAAGGCTATATGTAACACAATTTTAACACCATAAGTATTTATCTATATAAATATATGGAAGGTACAGGCAAATACATTTTCCAGCACCATTTATAGTCATAGCTATGGGGGTATATGAAATGCTAAATCCCCTATTATTCATATTTCAATATATATAATTCTATATTCTTAGGCTACTGTTATTTTTACATGTAGACTGTAGCTAATAGTTCTAGTTCTGGCTGAAAAAGAAAAAAATCAGTCATAATTTTTTCAGCTTGCACCTCATTTATAAATTTAGCCCATATTGATACAGGCTTATACCTGGCTACAGGACTGGCTCTATTATAATCTTATGGGAAGTCTGTGATTAGGCAGCACAGAACTGTATTTAATATACAAATTAAAATTCAAAACAAAACAATATTATATATAATTATAACAGAAATTTGATAAGGATTTTAATAGTAAATTCCATCAAAAATATTTAATAATTAAATGCAAGAATTGAAGAAACAACTCGGTAAGTTTGTTCGAATTACGAGAATATTTAAAATATTACTGACGTTGATTATTAGACGAATCTGTTAAGTAAATAACTGTAACTTGTGTTAATATATATCTGACTCAAAGGCATAATACTATGTAGCTATGTTATTAACTAATGAAATTTTATTAAAAATTATTATTTATTAATTTATAATTTAAGAAAACATATATTTGTTTATTTTCTTTTTATAAATATGATCGTACAGACCAGATGTAGAAAGAATAGGGAAAGAGGGCCCGATTAGCTAGGTACGAATTTCCACTATAGACCGGAAGTCACGTGATTTCAAGTCAAAAATTTTCTCTACTGCAGAGTTAAATAGATAACCGGCGTGATGTCATCAAGAAGAGTATTATGTACTGTACAGGGGCAAGATACTACTAATTTGAGATCGAAAGCATNTTTCAATTGTGTATAAATATTTCTGAATTAAATACCACTAATTATAATTAGATATAGTAAAATCTGTGTAAACCGGAATCGCTTCGAAATAAAAACTTCTTCCGTGTCCGCCTTAGACAGGTTTACAGTAGAATTTAACATTGAAAATCGCTTCTTTAAGAAGCCCTTTTCCGTATTATACAGGTTTTTCTGTATATATACATAACTTTAAGCAAGAAAAATACCTTATATGATTTTATTAAAATAGATTTGGTGTCTAGATATTAAATTATGGGAAGAATTTTGAAATAAAATTTTATTTTCTAATGCTTTTTATCGCTATAAATTTATATTTTATTTCGAGTCTTTAATTAAATACTTCTATTTTCTATTTTCTGAACGTTTCATAGCAACTTCAAATAATAAAATATTGCAATTGAATTATCCCACTTTGTAATTTAAAACTTTTGTTTGTATTTTATTTTGCTTTGAAATGGAAGAAAAGAATAAACAAAAATTATTTTAAAATTTCTAATTCGAGATTTTTACACAACACTTTGTTATCGTTGAAAATCTGTTTACAACTTTAAGTACATAATTTATTTAATTGTATTTATTTACTGATGTATACAAGATTATATTATAATAGAATACAAAATAATTAGAGATGAAGTAAAAAGTAAAATTTATAAAAAGTTGCAAGTGCTAATAACGAGTAAAAATCTTCATTAAGTCCGACCCCAATCGAGATATGTCAAGTGACCACCCTCTATCCTCTCACTCCGTCGATCTTTAACCACCAAATTTTAATAGTATAAATCCCTCTAATACACAAATCTCCCTGCAAATTTTCAGAAAATTTCGACAAAAGGTACAGGAGTTATTAAGCTTCAAAGTTGGTGACACACACTAACATCTGTACATACAGAAGAAAAAAAAAACCCAAATTTCTCGACGTTCCTGGGTCCTTGAGTCTAAAAATGTAAAAATCTTGAGGGGTCATTTTTTTTGTTCGATCGTCATACTTTCCCCCATATTCTGCGAATATAAGTTTATCCTTTTTTAGAAACTAATTTCATTGTTACATTGAAAGGAAAAATATATATATATTTATTGCATCAATTTACTTATAATAGCTGTTAAAGAATGAGAAATTTTTCTTTAAACTATCCTTTATCAACGTTGGGTTAAAATTTCATTAGTTTTAATAACGTTCCCGATAATTTCACTTTTCAAAGAGCGCTCTTTTAGACCATTAAATGACATCATCACTTGACTTTATTGAAACATGAATTAATGATTCATCATTCTCTCTTCACGTCTTCAATACTTGCTTCCGATTGTTTACGATTACTTTATTGGTATCATAATACATCATCGGTACTTTAAAGCCTTTAATCAACAAAATAATGTCAGAATATGCTGGCACATTTCTACAATGAATTATTTTATTTCCTAGATTCCGTCTTTCTGACACTACAATATCCTCTGGAGTGCAATCCGAACTCACTGTAATGTCTGTTGGTAGAGCGGATTCTGCTCTTTACACTTGTATAGCCTCTAACGATTATGGTCAAGATGACACTAACATTCAGTTAATCGTTCAAGGTAAGATTATCTTTGAAGTAACAGGTTAATACTTCCACATCATATTTCACTTGTTTTTTTTCTTTTATCGTTTGTAGAAATACCCGATCCACCTCGGGATATACAAGTGGTAGAAACCAGTGGACGTCAAGTAACAATTGCCTGGGAACCCCCATTTAGTGGCAACAGTTTAATAACGCAGTACATTATCCACCTTCGAGAAAACGGTAATATTCTCGGCTTTCTTAATTAGCTAAATAAACAAATTTTCTTAAAATCACTAACACTAGCTGACTTCTAATTAGTTCTCAATGAGATTCTACACGCTAATTGAAACTTTTGAATTGATGATCAACTTGAAAATTTGCATAAAATATATTTGTTTATAGCGAGTCATGCTGAGAATTGGATCAACGAAACGGTTGCAGGTACAGAAACTTCTACTATATTGAATAACTTGAGTCCAGCTACTGTTTATCAGCTCCATCTGGTAGCGGAGAATGCCATTGGAAGAAGTGGTTTTGGACAGAAAGTCATCTTTCAGACAGAAGAAGAAGGTATAACAATTTTTCTTTACCAAAAATATATATAAATTGCTGTTTATTTAACGCTCGCGTGAAATCGCGTCGCGTCGCTCGTCCTCGCGAAAACTTAGGCGTATGTCGTTACGCTTGAGTCATCTTTCGAAAAGAAAAAAGTATAACAATTTCGTTTCTATTGAAAATACATAAATTAATATTTATTTAATGCATTTAAAAAATATATATATATATTTTTAAATGCGTCGCATCGCGCTTGACGCGTGTCATCGCGACCTCTATGACGTTACTATCTGTATTCAGACAGTAACATTCTAATTTTTATAAAGTAGATCTGTTATTTTTTTAAAATTTTAAACACGAAGTATTATTTGAATTATTCAAAAACTTAATTAATTTTTAAATAACATTTTATACTATTTATTTAAGTGAAAATAAAATAAAAACAACTCTCTTATTCTTGCCATTTATTTTTTTAAATTAGATACTTTCGAGTTAATTTTTCATTTGATAGTAGGGAATTTAAAATGAAAGACCATTTATTTCTATTATTATATTAGTTTTCGATGGGTTAAATTTTAAATTTGATCAAGATTTCTCTCTATTTATCTCTAATTATCTTCTTAGTTCCAGAAGGACCACCTTCTATGGTTAGAGCCGAAAGCACGAGTTCACAGTCTCTTAGGATCAGTTGGGAAGTAAGTGAATAAATAAACAATATTTCTTCTTTCTTTACTTTTATAAATTATTAAAGGAATACTTTAAAGGTTTTACGTTTAAAATTAATTATAATTTCCACCTGCGTGACATGTACAGGAGCGCGTCGCATTACACCTGTAAAAGTAGCATTTTGTCTGTTTAATTTCTATTAAAAAATAAATATATATTAAGTATTCTTCAAGAATTATATCTTCTAGAAGACATAGGAACAGATAAATAATTATAATTGCCAGTTCTATCATTTAAATGCTATACTACGCGAAACGGCGCGCGAAATCGATCACAAGGGAAAGAGAAGAATTATAAAATAAAGAATTTTATTTATATTTAAAATAATAATTTAGAAATGTAATTAAATTTTTAAATATTTGTTTTTCAATTTTATTTAATCTTAATTCGATCATTATCACAGACTTCTTTTTATGTTTAAGGAGAGACGTATTGCCCCTTCTACCCCCTGATACATCCATACAATTGAATCAATTATAATATATATAAATAGTAGCAAAAATTTAAAATCTTTATCCTGTTTTAAAAATTGTTAACTGTATAAATTTTATTCTTTGTTTTTTTTAAATTATCATTTAAATCTTCTACATTAACGATGCACCATTTTTTAAATTGAAGGCATGATTTTATCTTATTTTTCTTTCTTTAAAGGAAAGTTTTACATTCTACGTAAGATCATTTTCATCGATCTACATACAGAATTGTTTCCTATAAAATATTACAAATACGATTTGCAATTTCTACGAAAGATTTAGAAATAGTTTTTCCGGAGATTTTACCTATCTAGGAGTGGAAGATTTGCACGTATTATATAAAACTGGAAGTAAAACTTTCCTTCAATAAATGATTGATACGAAAGTCTAGAATTTCAGAATGGATTTAAAAGTTGAAGAACTTAATTCTGTACTCGCTACAGTAAAACTTTATATTTCTGTCTCTCATTTTTTAGCTTTAATCTTTACGTTTTTATCATCAATTTTTGTAAATAAAAACCTTTAAATTTAAAACATTTCTCATTTTGCGAAAGAAAAAACATTTTGCCAAATTTACAAAGATTTTTCTTAAGAGAAAAAAAAAGTATCAAAAATGCTGGAAAAATAAATAATACTGGCAAGAGGGAAAAAAAATTATTTTATTACTAAAGACACTTCCGAAAACGTTCACGTAAAAATAAAATTTATTTTACTACTTGATTATATATTTTTAAAAATAAATTTTAACTCGGAATAATATTTATTGAACGTAGCCACCACCAAGAAGACTTCGAAATGGTCACATTAAAGGCTATTACGTGGGTTATAAAGAGAGTAACACATCCGAATCATTCCAATACAAAACTATTGACGTTGCAACCGATGATGATTCAACGGTCGTCTGTGATTTAAAAGATCTAAAAAAATATAGCTACTATACAATAGTAGTTCAGGCTTTTAATAAAATTGGTGCCGGTCCAAGATCTGATCCTATTGTGCGAATGACTTTTGAAGATGGTACGTGTGATAACATTTATAGACATTTAAATTCCTCTCCGAGTGATTATGCATTTATTAAATCCAAATTGTGTATAAATTTAGTTCCAAGTTTGCCACCGAAACAAGTGGAATGCCTTCCGTTATCTTCTCAAAGTATTAAAGTCACGTGGTCACCTCCTCCCATGACGGCGATCCATGGTCAACTGCTAGGACATAAAGTCGTTTATAGAGCTATTGATGATTGGCTAAGTAGGTTATTTTTTCGTTAAAGATTATTTTTAATGCTTATTGTCATTCTTTTCATAGATATAAAATAAAATATCCTAGAAACGTACTAATCAATATTAAATATTACCAAACTTTCTGTATGCAAATTTTAAGGATGAATTTTAACTTTTCGCGATAAAATTATTCACAAAATTTTAATAATCTTAAAATTTAGGACCGAGAGGTTAAGGTTTACTACTGTGGAGGACTCGGGTTCGAATCCCGACGGGTCGAAAACTACAGGAATTTTTCGGGATAGTCCTTGCAGATATGTCGGGCCTCCTTCCTCACCACCCGTTCGCCCCATTGTTGACCTGGTCTAACCCATAATGGGCAGTGGCGCGTTATTCTATAGGCAGAAATGAAAATTGCCTAGAGTCCCCAAAACAATCTTTTATCAGAAAATATTGCCCTCAAAATAATCCCTCGAAGAAAAATGTCAGAAGTCAACACTGTACATAGGGCCTCCTAATTCAAATACGCCTGGGTCCTATAAAGCTATAACGCGCCACTGATAATGAGTTTACTAGAAAGGCCCTCTTAGTGCCTACAGGGCAGAAGGAGTTTTTTTTTTAACCTTAGAATTTAATATCAAGTTATTTTATTTCTTGTTCTTCATCAAATTGAAGGTTTATTAATTAAATAAAACACAAAAATATTATAAGCATATTACTGCTTATTACTAAACTCTTAAAATATAATTTATTTTTTCAATTCATAAAATAATTAATTAACAAATCGATATTATATCAGGCATAGACGATCAAGAAAAAATCGTTCAAATGCCAGATGGTGAAACAGATCTTAAAAATTTGGAAAAATTTGCCAATTATTCGATATCAGTTCTGGCTTACACTGGTAGAGGTGATGGCATCATTAGCGATCCAGTATTTTGCAGGACTCTAGAAGACAGTGAGTAACCGTTAACAGATTTTTATCTCTCTATTCTTAAATTAAATTTAATAATATTTAAATAAAATAATCTTTCTAGTTTGGTAAATCTGTAAATATAGGATGAAGTGTTAACATCTTATAGATATTTTTCAAGATTCATTAACAGTTTAATTATTTTTAAAAAAATTATTTATATATTTCAATAAACGTGTAGTGAAATTATAATATTTTTATTTATTTATTACAAGTTCCATCTCCACCAGAAGATATCAAAGCCATGCCAATGCTGCCGGATGCCATATTGGTAAGCTGGCTTCCTCCCATCCGTCCAAACGGTTTGCTTCAACAATATACTTTGTATCAAAGAGTCACTACAGGTGACAGTCAAGTAAGAAGAACACTATAATATTTTAAAATAGAAAAATTTATCAATCAAACGAGATATGTGAAGGATGATTTCTTGATTTAGGATACCAAACGGCACGTCATTTCTCCCTTCCAATTATATTATGAAGCTCTTAGATTAAATAGAGAAAGACGCTACGAATTCTGGGTAACAGCGTCCACTTTAGCGGGGGAGAGTGAAGCTACTCGAGTCTTATCACAAACAACTTCTGATACAAGTAAGTTAACATCTTTCTATCACTTCTTATAGCTGTTACCGAAAAAGCTTTTACTAATACATCGGTTAAATTTGTGGTATTGGTAATGTAAACATTTCAATTATTAAACTATATTAATGCAAATATATTTAATGTAATTTAAAATAAAATTATAACAAATTTATGTAGTGTTTTTGAATTAGAAAAAAAAAAACTAGCAAACTTTAACTACATTTGCAAACATTGAATAATTATTTAACTTTTAATTAATTAATTTTATTACAGTACCTGCTAGGATAGCTTCTTTCTCTCGTCATTTGTCAATTAAGAGAAAAGCAACCCTGAACATTCCTTGCAAGTCTGTAGGAATCCCAACACCGGAAAAAATTTGGACATTCAGGTAAAACGGTATGGACATGGTCAATATTTTGATGCGCTCTGATGAGCGTGTTATCGTATTAGAGGGGGGTTGTTTAAATACGACAAACAAAGATGGCTGACATAACGAAAGTTTTAAATAAAATCAAATTAAATTAAATTCTACTTTTTAATAATTTTATTGGTCTATTTATAAGTTAATTTATTTACATAAAATTAATAAATTAAGTAAACATCGTTATTATATCGAATAGAATATTTGTTTTCGTGTTACTGGCATAAAATATAAGTGAATAATTAATTAAAATATAATTAAGTTATGAATAATGTTAAAATGTAGTACATAAATTAATATAACTTTATAATAATTTGATAAAAATTGAACAAAAATATATATATAAAGCATTTAATTTCTAAAATATGTGTTTTAAATTAATAATTAATATATTTNAGTATAATATTCATTTAAATGAAAGATTAAATAATTAAATTTTTTACGCAGAAAAAAAATTTTTTTCTAGCAATTTTAAAATAAATTAAATTTATAAATCAAATTCCTTGTTTCTTTTCTTAATTGGATTGTCCATTTAATGGAAAGTTTGCGTTTCTTTGTACATAGTTTTTCGCTTCGGCATTTAACGAGGCATCTCGAATCAATCTAGTTAACATTTACCATTCTTTTAATAGAATGAAGTTTGCCATGTTCAAATCATTCATTTATGCAACACACAAAAGAATCCGAAAGAAAAATTCAAGACACACCACCACCAAATATTCTTTTTCGTTCAATTTCCTCGAAGGAATAAAAGATAAAAATCCTCCAATGTATTGTACTTAGGATTTACTCTATATTAAGTGTTAATCATCACTTAAACTAATAAAATTCAAAATTATTTTGATTAATTCTATTAATGAATAAGAATTCTTACCTTTAAGTAAGATCTAGAAACATTAAAAGTGGTATTCTATTCAACTTTTTTTTTATGATCTTTCATTAAATTCGAAGAAAATTTTAAATGGAATATTCATGAAAGAATTTTTAATCTTAATTTAAAGTGCAAATGCTCGGTACTCAAGAATTAAACAAGATTCTTTCTTTTTTCCTTCTTCTTCTTCTTTATACCTCTCTAGAATTGTGCATTATCCTTATAAATTTATAACGTTCGAAGATTTAGAAAATATTCTTGTTCGGTAGTGGAATATCTCATGAAATTTATAGTAATGAGAAACAACGGACATTATATCAAGAGAGATTAGAATTTATTTATTAAAAAGAATAAATTCTCACTTTATAATATTGATCAAATCGAGTGAAAATTGTAAATTTTTTTTCTTGGTTTTCGTGGCAATTTTCTACTCGTTTCTTTAAATCCGCGGTTTTAAATTAATCGGATTGACCGATATTAAAGTAGAAAGAAAGCATTAAGAAGATAATTTTATTCTTTATGCGACCTACTTTCTTCCGAAAATTTATTGTTAAGGGGTCTGACGATATCTGCACTTTTATGTGACATTAGATATACGGCCAAATGGCATCTACGTGAAACTATCACTAACACTCTGAAGTTCCATCTTAACGACTGCTACAACTAAATTTATTGTTAATTGAAGTTGAGCTTTTTTTTCTTCTTCCTCTTTTAGTACTACTTGCTTAATTGAAGGATGCCATTAGAATGTTTATCGATGATTCGTTTCAGTGCTACCCGCACCCGCTGTGTTGAATGTAGTCGGTGCCACCACAACATCCCTGCAATTAAGATGGGAACATAATTCCAAATATCTCTCTACCAAGATAAAAGGTAAAATTCTTATGTTTATACCTCAATTTACTTCATTTTTTGTTGTGTTTTTTTTCTCTAATTTGGTTTAATTAAAAAAGAAAAATCGAAGTAATAGTTTGGATAATAAAAGTCTTTTCAAATTAAAGAATATTTTAAAGAATCATTATCATTAGTTTAATTGTTAGCACAAGTTGATGATTGTTATTTTTTTATTATTAGCGAATCACGATTCTTCTTACATAATATTCTAATGAAATGCAGATGCTCCTTTATTGACAGAAATCGACTCTTCTTATTGGTTTAAATTGACGTAATTCAACTTGAAAAGAAAATCGAATTTTTTTTTTCATCGAATTTATCTATTATCGTTTAAATTAAATTTTCTTACTTATTTTAAAGATTAAAATAAAAGAAAATACAATTTTAGGAGTTAATTATTATGAATTTATTCTACAGTGACGTCAAATTCACGTTAAAATCTCGCGTAATCAAACAGACGTTAAGTCCAATTACCGTTAAAAGTAAACCAAAAATGGCGCTTTTAATTAGCCAAAAAGTAGCCAAAATAATAAAAATATCAAAATAAATATTTTATTAGATATATAAATATATTATTTATAGTAATATTTTTACTATATTTTTCAATATGAAAAAAAAATTAGATAAATTTATAACTTTAAAAAATTTTTAAATATGTAAAGACACCATTAGGAACAGCCATTACGGATGTAGTACTGTATTTATATTGTAAATAAATATAGTAGTTAGCTCATATGTATCCATAATGTAAAAAGTTTAAGATATTTGAATATTATGATGAGAACAAAATAATTCCCAAAAGTATTTCTACTTAAAACAAATTGGAAGGAGTACGTAATATATGAATAATATTTTATCCATGTAAAAATTTATGAATATATTTTTTCTAATCCTTAAAGATGCCATTAAAACGTTTATCGATGAAGAAAACAGTTTATTATACACGCGGGTGTGATAAAACTGACCCAAGTTGTAAATTGGATATTCTTGCTTTAGTGAATTTTATATATTCTACTTATAAATCTAATCAAGAATTCTCAAAACAGGAATAATAATAAAAATTATAGCTAGTGAAATCCCTGCAACAATTAATGACAGAATTTATTGTTAAATTTTCAAATTAACCATTTTGTCTTAAGTTTTAAACCAAATGCTGCATACTAATTGAATTATTGATAGTAAGAAAATGTGATTTTTTCTTTTTTTCTCCCCCGATTTAAATACATTCAACAAATGAAGAAAAATATCTGATTATAAAAACATATTCAATTTTATTAATTACTTTATTAAATTTTTGTATTCATTTACTTTTATTCATTTTTAATTAAATTAGAAATGGAGAGTTTTAGAATATCTTCGTGAAAAATTCCTTTTATTTCTAATCAACTGGATTGAATCTCTGCCAAGTAATAATAATAATAATAATATTCCGCCGCTACCCGTTTGTAAAAATACTAAAATCTTTTCAAGATGAATTAATAAATTAATTTATTTTTTTTTCGGGTAAAANTACGGATGTAGTACTGTATTTATATTGTAAATAAATATAGTAGTTAGCTCATATGTATCCATAATGTAAAAAGTTTAAGATATTTGAATATTATGATGAGAACAAAATAATTCCCAAAAGTATTTCTACTTAAAACAAATTGGAAGGAGTACGTAATATATGAATAATATTTTATCCATGTAAAAATTTATGAATATATTTTTTCTAATCCTTAAAGATGCCATTAAAACGTTTATCGATGAAGAAAACAGTTTATTATACACGCGGGTGTGATAAAACTGACCCAAGTTGTAAATTGGATATTCTTGCTTTAGTGAATTTTATATATTCTACTTATAAATCTAATCAAGAATTCTCAAAACAGGAATAATAATAAAAATTATAGCTAGTGAAATCCCTGCAACAATTAATGACAGAATTTATTGTTAAATTTTCAAATTAACCATTTTGTCTTAAGTTTTAAACCAAATGCTGCATACTAATTGAATTATTGATAGTAAGAAAATGTGATTTTTTCTTTTTTTCTCCCCCGATTTAAATACATTCAACAAATGAAGAAAAATATCTGATTATAAAAACATATTCAATTTTATTAATTACTTTATTAAATTTTTGTATTCATTTACTTTTATTCATTTTTAATTAAATTAGAAATGGAGAGTTTTAGAATATCTTCGTGAAAAATTCCTTTTATTTCTAATCAACTGGATTGAATCTCTGCCAAGTAATAATAATAATAATAATATTCCGCCGCTACCCGTTTGTAAAAATACTAAAATCTTTTCAAGATGAATTAATAAATTAATTTATTTTTTTTCGGGTAAAATCAAAATTAGACAAAATTAAATTATCTTTTTTTTTATTTATTTTCTTCTTCCTTATTTTTATATTTACTTCTCGTTCTTTACTTATAAAAATTCAAAATTAAAATGGCTGAAGGTAATCGAAAGATTCTTAAAATCAATAAAGTCCATTCATCTCAATGGTTATCAAGCAATATTTAAATTAATTATCGTATAAAAACTTTAAAAATTTTAAATGATTAATTAATTTTAAAAAGGAATATTAACGTGTTTATAAATGGATTTTTTTTTATTTCAGAATGTAAAGCACTTTTATCGTTAATATTATTTTCAGTAAAGTATACAATATACAGTCGACCCCCTCTATAACACTGTTGATAATTACGTTTTATATGAATTACATGTTGTACGAGTCACTTAAATTTTACAAATACGTGTGCCGGGCTGTGAACGGCTCACGTATTTATAAAATCTAAGTGACTCGTACAACATGGAATTCATATAAAACGAAATTATCAACAGTGTTATAGGGAGGTCGACTGTATTAACAATTAATTATAGAAACAAAAAAGAAGAAAATTTTACTTTTAAAATTAAATTTTTATATTAATAAAGCTATTATAATGCTTAAGATTGGATATAATTAAGCATCACTCATTAGAAATTGTCAATGTTTAGGTTATGTGCTTAAATTTAGACGCGAATTTGGTCAAGTGGAAGAAGTGAAGATTCTGTCACGTGGAAATTCTTATACACTAGAAAATCTTCAGTGTGGAACTAAATATTTTCTTTACCTTGCTGTATTGGCCAGAGGTGGGGAAGGTGAACCTAGCGAGACAGTTTCTGGGAAAACTGAAGGAAAACGTGAGTTTGTTAATAATTTTATAGCATTTATTCGATCAGAAATCATCTTTTATATGTTTTTACATAATTTACACGACTTAAACTGTATAAAAAATCATCTTATAATAAGAGATTGCTAGAAAACGGTAACCAAATTTTATCTTCAAGGGTTACGTATTAATATTTCATCTTGATAAAATATTAAAAGATACGTCTTGAAATATATTCATTTTGTTTGGTTGTATAATTTTTCAAAAATGGTTTAAACATTGTTTTATTTATTTACTTTTTTTTGAAAGTCATTAATTATTTTGAGAGATATAAACTGCTTATTTTCTTAAATAAATCAAATGAAACATTTTATATTTTACTTTATAAATTTGTTATTATTTTGTTATATTATTTAATTATAAACGTCAAATGTCAGCTTTAATTTTATAACTGTTTCTTTTATGCTTAGAATAACGTTTCTAATTAAAATTATATAAAGTGTTCTAGTACATTTTTCGAATAAATGTTTTACATTAAATAATTTAATCAGATATTTTGTATTTAATTAGAGAAATTCAAATAAATATTTCAGTCTTATCTAAGTTTAGAAACTCATGAAAAACATATTCGGTATGAATTTTATATATTTTTTAAATCTTAATATTAATTGGGCTGCAATTTAGATTGCAGTCTTATTGTCGTCAGTCCGTCTATTCTTCGTTACTATATACTAATTTTCAGTCTATACTGACTTTATTTTGTCAAAAAAAAACTTAAAAATTGCTGTTTATTTATTTAATTATATCTTATATAATATGAAATAATCGAATACTTTTCTAGCAAAATTTTTATATTCTTATAAACTTATTAAATTGCATAATAATAAAGCTAATTCCAAACATAATCAATGTATGATAAAGTATGTTACAGTTGTATTTTATGATTTGATAAATAAATAATAATATTTTTTAAGCAAATAATTCCACCGACTTAACAAACAGGTTACGTAAGGAAATCTTTAAGTGCATTTATCTCGAAAATTAAGGTTAAAAGAAAAATTTCTCGTAGAATTTACTGCTTAGAATAACATCATGAATGAGTTTTTGAAATTAAGCAATAAAGCTGTAATTTAAGTTTTTTAACTATTTAATTTTTAATTATTTCTGTATTCAATAATAAAATAAAGCTTTACGATTGTGCCGTGTTCAAATATTTTGCAGTAAAATTTAATTTTTCAGTATGTCATGATACGTTTGCAGAAATTTTGCGTAGTAGTGAATTTCTTATTGTATAGATCCATTGAAAATTTCTGCAGTGAATTGCTTTTCGCTTTGAATTTTTTGCAAAAAATAGTTTATATCTCGTAATATTTAACTTATATTACTATATTTAGTAATTAATAATATAATTCATTAAAGTATTATCACAGTAAACGCTGATACTTCACTTAAAACTATAGTAAATTATTTTGCACGTATATAAAAATATCATCACTTTAATCAGNTTATAAACTTATTAAATTGCATAATAATAAAGCTAATTCCAAACATAATCAATGTATGATAAAGTATGTTACAGTTGTACTTTATGATTTGATAAATAAATAATAATATTTTCTAAGTAGGTAATTCCACCGACTTAACAAACAGGTTACGTAAGGAAAGTGCATTTATCTCGAAAATTAAGGTTAAAAGAAAAATTTCTCGTAGAATTTACTGCTTAGAATAACATCATGAATGAGTTTTTGAAATTAAGCAATAAAGCTGTAATTTAAGTTCTTTAACTATTTAATTTTTAATTATTTCTGTATTCAATAATAAAATAAAGCTTTACGATTGTGCCGTGTTCAAATATTTTGCAGTAAAATTTAATTTTTCAGTATGTCATGATACGTTTGCAGAAATTTTGCGTAGTAGTGAATTTCTTATTGTATAGATCCATTGAAAATTTCTGCAGTGAATTGCTTTTCGCTTTGAATTTTTTGCAAAAAATAGTTTATATCTCGTAATATTTAACTTATATTACTATATTTAGTAATTAATAATATAATTCATTAAAGTATTATCACAGTAAACGCTGATACTTCACTTAAAACTATAGTAAATTATTTTGCACGTATATAAAAATATCATCACTTTAATCAGAATTAGTATTTATAATTATTGATTTATAATTTACAGCTCCCGTCGCTCCTAGTAAAGAAATGTTTATAGTAACGAATTCAACGTCTTTCACTTTACTATTGAATTCTTGGGATGATGGAGGTTGTCCCATCAAGTCATTCGTCATTCGTTATAAGAGACTTCATACAACAGAATGGAAAGTAGCGTCAAATAACGCATTGCCTCATCAAGAGAAAATTACCATCCGTGATTTAGCACCTGGTACATGGTACGGCTTGAGAATAACTGCACATAATGGAGCTGGTTCTACAATGACCGAATATGAAGCAGCAACTCTTACTTTAGATGGAGGTAAATATATATATATATAGGCCTATATATTTTTTTTATGAATATGTTCAGTGGTTTATTAATTTTTGAACGCCTTAAAAAATAATATAAACTTTTCTGATAAACATATCAATAAATTTTAATAATTACTTTTAATAAAAATAATTTTGGATTATTTATAAGAGATATATTACTGTTTACTTGTAAAGTAAAAAGTTTCAAATCAAGTTACAGAAATGTATTTTTTTTTTAAGTGTTTATTTTAAATATTTATAAACTTGTGAATAATTCATAGTTTCTGATTAAAAGTATTCAAAAACTGAATCTATATAAGTTTAATTACATTAAAAAGATGATGAATATTAACTTTAGAAAGTATAAATAATCCATATTAAATCCCACATATTAGAATAATATCTGAATGTTTATTATTTCAGTAAAATTCAAATGTTATTTATTGGAAAATAAATATTATAATTATGAAAGTATAAAAAGGTTAATAAATTATTTATTAGTTATAAAAATTCTGCTTATTAAGAAAAAAGTAGAATTCTTAACAATAAATTACCAACAAGTAATTGGCATTGCTTTGCAATTGTGTTCTAAGTGAAGTTTTCTGTTATTCCAAGTTTCATTTTCATATATTATTCATTTAAAAATAAAATGTGAAGCATTAATTCAAGTATAAATGTTTTTATTCAATAGAAAGTATAATAATAGCCATTTCATCTAGATCTATATTTCTTCTAGAAATGTTTATATGATTGTTTGCTACCACATTTTATTCTTCCAATGTTATACCATTCTCCTGAAGTAAAATATTGCCATCCATACCTGTAGCGAATGTAGACAAGAATAACTGATCTCTTTACTGAAATAATTTCCTTCGAGGTGTAAGAAAGAAACAAAAACTGAGAATTTTCACTTTAATCTATTGAATGAATTTTATTATCTAGGACAATTTTGATTATTGAACAAAAAAAATTAGTTTCTAAAATTTGGAGTTAATCATTTAAACATGCAAATTTTCATTTGTGTAATATAAATTTTATTATGCAAATTTTGCAAAGGTGAAGTACTTGAATATATTTTACAAGAAATAAAAATAGTTTGATAAAAATTTATTAAGAATGTATGACAGTTAGTTAATTATTCTATCTAACAAATACAGTTTATTATTTCTTTATATAACTAATTAATTATGAGATTAAACAGGATAATATTCCATTATTATCCTGTGTTTACAATGCATATGAATCAAATAAAAGATCAAAAATTTCATTTTAACTTGACAAACGGGGTTATATCATTCCCTATTCATTTTTATCTAAAGTACAGTACATAAAAATTAAATCTAAGTGGCCGAGTGGATAAATATCATTTAACACTAGTTATTTTGTGTTAGTAACTGAGCAACAGGCTGGTCGTATGGAGTTTTCAGGATTTTTTACTTGCCTAACTCCTAGATAAAGACCACTTTTCCGCAGAAAATCCTTCCAGATGCTCCTACCGTTGCATCTCGTGTAGCAGTGCCATTACCTATCAGTCCAATCTATAAAACTTAAACTTTTTTACAATGATTTCTATATAGAAAATATTAAACCGAATACAACAAGATAACTTACTTTATTCTCTATATAAATGTTCATTTAGTTTACGTGTGTCGATTCTATACAATATTATCCTCTATAATCTCAGTAATTCATCAATTCCCTTCATCTAAATCGAATTAAATTTATTGCTTTTTACAGAATATTTATAATTTATTAAATTATGCTTAATATATTTGTTAATTGTGAACTGTTTTTAAAATTAAGATATAAAGTTTACTGTCGTCTAGATTAATTTTTTTCATGTTTTTATATTTTCTCAGGAACGGTAGCACCACTTGTTATACAAGAAAGGAACGATTCAAATGTTTGGGAAGATCTGAACATCATTGTTCCTATTGTGGCAGCTGTGGTAGCTCTTTCTGTCGTTATTGGTGTTGCTGTATGCGTGTGTGTCAAAAAGAGACACGGAAATGGTAATTTATTCAAATATTTATTTTTGCTGAATTTTAAAATAACTATTTTTTTGCGAAAGAAAAGAAAATATTTTTTATCCAATTTTTTACATTCTTCACTGTAAATAAGAATTCAAGCAAAATCTAACAGTTATAAAAAATATAAGATAATTAAGCTTTTTTTGTAACATTAAAATTCATTAAATATTGATTATTTTTACATATATAATAATTTTTAGACGATTATTACGATAGAAGAGGGCTAAATCCTAATGCAGCGCCTTTAATGGCTGGTCAAATAATGAAGAAAAACGTCGAAAATTTAAACCTTCGAGATACTTCTGTATACCAAAGTTGTGGTCCAAAAAATTCTTTGACGTCACCTCCTACTGGACAGGATCTGTCTATGACTGGGGATCCCAATCATCGTAAGTTGACTCGTGAAGTGTTGGCAATCATTGTTGTTTGTAAGTTGTCTGTGGCAATCATCGTAAGAGTTTATTATTTTATTTATAGAATATGACGATGACATAGCTCCTTACGCTACATTCCGTCTGCCTGGATGTGATTCGGACACTGAAAGTTCGCAAGGGACTGTGAGGGAGCTCCAGACATTTGGTCAGCAATATAGAAGGCCAAACCACGATCCAGCTGCTCAGTATGAGGTTCTTTCACACGTAATCATCTTTTGGTACTATCGGGTACCCATTTTCCTTTATGGGAAATTGGGTGATAAAGCCTTTCAATCATTCTCTGGCTTAATGATTTTTTTTATAATTTCTTGCCTTTATTTATTCCAAATTGCTTACAAAAATATGTATATCTGCGATTGGATCCGAATTTCGGATTGTTTTAATATTTTTAAATATTTAAAATGGGAATATTATCATTAGTATATAGTGTTTTTTACGTTTAAAAGTGGTTTTAAACGTAACCGTTTATGTTTTTAGGCTGCTAAACCACTCAAATCTGGAAACAAATATATATCAAAAAGTTCGTAAGTATATACAGCAAATCTTTTTGATTTTGTTTCATAAATATTAAACGATCGTTTTATATCTGCATTAATATTTTATTTCATTGATCAGTCGAATATCAGACATATGACGGAGTAAGTCATCATCCCAGTTCCTGTTTGGAACAGGATCCTGTATATAAACAATATCGCAAAAGCAGAGAATTATGGACCGAACTAGAGGAAGTGAAGGGAAGAAAAAGCCGTCAAGACATTTGTAAACGACTCATTTGTCTCGTTGAACCGTCCCAATACAGGTTATTACTTAATCTATTTCTACTTTAAATATTAAAAAAAGTATAAAATAAAATATTGAATTAATAATTTTCGGTACAGATTTTTAAATGCCAAATTTGGGAAATGGCCGTGTGATAGAAGCATTAAAAATCCATTAAAAAATACCAAAAAACTTTAAATTCTTTGTTCAATATCTTTGTAATATATTACGTAAAATACATGGAGCAATTGCTGGTAATATCTAAGAAAATTACTTCTGTCATTACTGAATTTTCATTCCGGAAGTAATCATCAATATACTTTTATGTTAATGCTATTTTCATACGCAGTATCTTTAACTATAATAGTGATAATCGTTAAATTCTATTTTAAAAAAAAAGTACATGTAGTTGTTTAAAGTTTTCTTACATTAATTATATAGGGCAAATAATTAGCCAATTAATCACTTGGCAATCGATAGAAGGTTATGTTTTAGGCTCAAATATGAAGAAAAATTTATATTAATCATAGGTTAGTTATTAATTAAATTAAATTTTCAAACTTTATTTTTTGAAATATAGTAAAATAATAAAAGTATTATCATTAATTATGTGTTATCTTATAATTTTCTTTGCTTACTGTATATTAAGTTATATGTTGATGTAAGATTAAAGTATATAAATTAAACAGTATACAATTTCTGAAATTCTAAGTTTAGTTATGATTTTATCAACTTAAATCTGAACACGCATACTTGTAATTAATGAATTTTATAACAAAATTCTTAGCAGTTAATGAAGACCTGAAGTTGGAAAGATTTATATTATAATGCATTACTTTATAATGAAAATCTGCATCATGCTTCATGATGCTTAACTTTTAAACATCATAATATTCAAAACTGTTATTAGAATAAGCGTATATACTCTGTATTCTCCTCACATTTTAAACACATACATTTTTAATTAATTCATCTGAATTGTTCTGATATTATATTTTTTAAAAGTTTTAAAGTTTTAAGAGTAAAAATTTCATTTAAATATTTAATTTTTGTACTCCTCCTCTCTACGTCAATTCGATTGAAATTTGTTGAATCTCTTGGGCTGGTCTTTGGTCATCACTCAACAATAGATAAAAAAAGAGAAGAGAGAAATCGAAACATTGAACCTTCTGAAGCAATGAATGATTTGGAGTTGAAATTTAAATATAAATTTTTAAAGTATTTTTATGTAAGTGTATTAATCTGTAAAATAAACCTATGTACACCCCCCAAAAATGGCTTACTATTCAAATATATGCTTTTGAAGATAAAAAAAAAAGGCATTAAGCATCACACTTTTTCAAAGTTTACTCGCTTTTCTGGAAGAATGCCCTGATAATATTTAAAATTAAAAATATAAAATAACCATATTTAATTATTAATAAGCATCATTTTATAGTTTAAATCTTTTATTATTATTTTATAAACTAAGGATGAAATAACGTGACTTAAAACCAATATTTTGGGTCATATAATGTTGAAAAAATTCGATTCAAATCCAACAATTTTACTTAAAAGTTTTAATCGTAATTAAAAAATAACATTAAATTTATTTTTAATTAATAAAAATTCGTGTTTTTTTGGGGAGTAATAAACTTCAATGCGCAAATATTAATGCAAATATAGACCTACATACGATACTATAAATCACAATCTAATCGATATAGAGATCCATTGGAAAAAAATATATATATACTGTATATATAGGTTGAATTTCATAAGAACCTTAAAAATATAAAAACTAGAAATGAAAGCTTGCATAAACTTTAAAAATAAAGTAAAAATTAATTATGTTAAAAGCAATATCTTAGAATTATTTAGACTTGTTTATAAAATGGAACAAAGTAAAAATTTGATGTAAGACATTATATACTTTTAATGCATTATCGATTGAATCGCATTTCGACTTTAACTATTTATAAAAGTTTTCATCGTATTAAATATGAAGGAAAATATCTTTTTTTTTTTTTTTTTTTTAATAATCAAATATCTTATGCAGAATTTATAAGCTTTAAATCGAAGGGAATGTTTTGTATCTGCGACTAAAAATAAGTTTGCTCGTATCAAATATTAAATTATTAAATTAACGATTGTTTACATTATACATATGCAAATTGACGAAATAAAAGAAATATTTTGTAAATCTTTCTTTATTATTTTAATAAAATTTGCAAAATATATCAAGGCATATATATATATTTTTTTTATTTTAGGACATATTCCTTTTACGTTTTAAATGATTTTATTTTATTTTATTTTTTTCTTTCAGTTCGGAGTACGAAAGAACTCTGGAAGACCTCGCTTACAGCTATCAGGATTTGGATATGGAAGAAGATCTGTTGGCTGGTCATGGTGAAATGTCAGAAGCGGAATGCGATTGGGATCATGCCCCTCACTTCCGATAGATCAGTCTCCTTCATGAGATCACTGCTGCGACGCATAAAGCATACCAATCTACATTTGTATATATATATTATACATACATTGTTACCTTTCTCTTCTGAAAAATAAACTGTTTATGGACAAAAATCTTATGGTTTCAAATACATTACATGTTTTTTTATCTACCTTTTCATATCCTTAATTCAAAAACATGGATAAAGTTTTCGTTGTAAATTGTCACAACATCTTACAAGCGATTCAATATATATATATGTATATATATATATATTTCCTTTTTATTCCAAATATAAATTTAAGTAAAAATAGTTTTTTGGAGAGAATTCAAGTTTAGAGTTTTTGGAAAATAACCAAAGCTATGGAGGACAAAAAGTTTATTTAGGTTAAATTAAATTTTATAATATTCAAATGTAAGGAGTAAAAAATCTTAATTGATTATTAATAACAACGATGATAATAGTGACTTAAGTCTAATTACAGTTAATTCTAAACTGAACCGAATTATCTGGTGTTTAATTAGAAGAAAATTAGAGTTATTAAGTGAATATTAACTATAAAATTGTCATAGTCAATATTAAATAATTTATAAATTGTTTAAAAATTTATTTCCTTTGATTTAATTAATTCGGATAGAATTAAAATCTTTGGAGAGATTCCAATATCAAAGATAAATTTCTTTTTTATTCCTAAATATTTAGGAAAAAAGAACCTAATATAGGTTAATAGTTAAAGTTTAGATAAGAAGTTAAAATATTTAAATATATATATATTTTTTTTAAGTAGAAGCTTTATAATAATAAAAATGTTTATTTAATTTTAAACCCTCTCATTTATATCTTGGTATATAACTGTGTGGAGAAAGTATAACCTGAACTGTGGCCTGAGGACAATTATATCCTACGGTGGATCCAGGAGCAAATCTCAGGGAACAATTTTTAATTCGTATAATAAAATAAACAATAAATTTCATTGCTTTATTAATTACTTGAAATAAATTATATAAACTTTACTTTTTAAAAATAATACGATCGTTTTTTAATTATTTTACGTTTTAATTTTGTTATCATTTGTAAAGAAGCTCTTGCTAGCAATAAAAAAAGATTCCAGCAAAGAGTTGCTTAACTTTCCCGGAAACATTTAAAACTGTGTTTCTCGCCATCTATTACGATATTTTATTTAATAAATTCTTTTATATTTTTAATTATTATAAAATAGCAAAAAATTTAATTTTGAAATTAAGTATAAAGTTTATAAAAGTTGCAAATGCTAATAACGAATAAAATTTTCATTAAGTCCGACCCTAATCGAGAGATGAAAAGTGACCCCCCTCTATCTCCCCATTCCGTCGATCTTTAACCACCAAATTTTAATAGCATCAATACCCCTAATACACAAACCTCCCTGCAAAATTTCAGAAATTTTCGACAAAATGCACAGGAGCTACTAAGCTTCAAAGAGATGAACAAAATCGTGCCCTTCACACACACAAAAACTTAACATTTGTACATAAAGAAAAAAAACCCGATTTTTTTTTTTTTTTGTATTTCTCGACGTTTAAAGGTGCCCTGAGTCCAAAAAATATAAAAATCTGCCTTCATCGTCGACTTTTAGACGACTGGAAGTTGAAAAGCGGGCCTTAACATCTTATACTTTAGTTTTAGTAAGCCAAACACGTATCTTTATATTTTAACATCTTAAAAATTCTGTTTTTATGTTTGTTTATCGGATCCATAAATTTCTCTCGTTTACTGCTTTTGTTTCATTTCACATCAATAAATTTTCTTTTTTTAAAAAAAAAAAAAATATGTACAATAAAATTTATTTAACAATATAAAACTCGAAACTATAGAAAGGGCCTATATGAAAATAAAAGAAGAAGAAAACCAATTTAGTAAATTTATGAAAAGAATTTGTAAAGGATACTTAAAGAAGAACGTTTAATCCATCATATTTTCTTGTCCTCGAAATGTTAACCAAAAGCCAATATTTAGACTATTTATGTTGTATTTTGGTAGAGTTTGATAAAATATACTTTCATTTATCTTTCTTATAATAAATCTATGAAAGTGAAGGAAAGAAAAAAAAAAAAAAACTTTATATTTTGACACATTATCCGAAATTCAACACGACTCTAAACAAAAATCTTAATTTTTGTTAGACTTTTGGCAAAATCAATAACTATCAAAGAGGAACAAAATTATTATTATTTTATTTAGTTATTTTATGATTTATGATATAAATAAGTGGACTAAATTAAAAAAATAAAAAAAAGTTATTTTGATAAACAAGTTATGATTAATGGTTTTACTTTCTTTCGATTTTAATTAAATGTTCTTGCTTCTTATTTAACTGAAAGTTATTAAGTTTTAATGATTTCGGTGAGGTGTCGTCGTCGTCGCTCCGTGTCGTACGCAGACGTTCGCGTTTTATCGCTTAAAGATAATAAAGATGCAATGTTAAAAGTTTTTACTTTTATTGATATTATTTTAAATATTTTAATTAAAAATTTGTGTGTTTAATTGCAAATTTTAAAGCGACAAGATTAAATTTTGAACTTATATAATTACAGCGCTTCGCGTCGCGTCGTGTCGCGCGCTTACCTTAAATGTCGCCGGTACATAAAATAGCCATTTTAATCTACCGAAAGTAAAATATATTTCTAAAACTTTAAAATAAGATAAAAAATATATATATTATCTGTATCAAGTTATATTTATAATTTAAATTAATTTAATATTCTATATAGAAAAGTATATTTATTGATTTTAAAGTATAATAAACAGGCAATAAATTTCGAATAGAATTTGACAAGTTTATTTTTTTATTTTACACAAAAAATTCGGAACAAAATGTTAAAATCATTCGTTAAATTATTCATTAAAGTTTTATAAGAAATGGAACAATAAATTCACAGTTTTATTATCAAAATGAACAATAAACTTTGGTATAATGAAATAGTTTATTAAATGCGCACAAATTATTTATTATTCACATTTTAGTTATGCTTCTAGCATCTTAATATCTTCTTGGTATTCAGACACGTTATGACATTTACCCGTACGTCTTCTGTGAATATGTAGAATTGAATTATTTATAAATAAAAGAGATGTATCACAGTATAAGTGTCCATCTTCAGAATTAGCTTGTATTAGTGCATTTTTTTATTCTTTCATGTAATTAAAAACGTTCTTCCTTAACATAATCACCATCTTCATCAAGTAGACTTGTATAGTAATATAGTTAAGTCTTTATAAGCCATTCTGATGTAACACTGTTTAGAATGAGTCACACAACTTCCCCAATTCCTCCCTACGATACAATGCCACGTGGGATGATAAAAGTGATCAAAATCCTGTTTAATACTTTCGGCGATATGTTTTTCGGTACTGTACAACCGAACAGCTTGAGCAGCACTATATAATGCAGCTCTTTGAAGTTCTGTAGCCATGTCGGCCGCTTGTATCTTAATTTCTTGTAATTCTTCTTCTAAAGTTGACCCAGAAGGGGTTAAACTGGATAATCTCTCCCTCGACAATCTTTCGCGGCTCCCAAACGTCGCACCTCCATTTTGACGCTTGGAGCTATAACCATACAAAAAATTTTATTAAATATTATTATTATTCAATTTTAAATTTAATTTTTAATTGTTCTTAGTGGCCAAAAGTCTATACATAACGCTTAATTTTTTTTTTTTTTGCGTTTTTATAAGCTCAAATGCAATAAACATATGTATTTAATGAAGATCCTTGATATAACGAACTTACAGGAGTAAGAGATAGTTCTATAAGAGCAATTGTTTGTTTTATTCGAAGATATTATGACCAAATACGGAACGGAACGAACTTCATGTGAGATACGATAAGAGATGTAAACATCCTATATTGTGGTATATATGAGGGAAACAAACGTCACACTTCCAAGCAGGAACATAAATGTTAGCTGTCGCACTGCCTAGAGTGCATTCTTCAGTGTGTGATATTCTCAAATACTGTGTTCTCACACCTTGAAACACGCGAATTTGATTTGTTATTTCCATCCGTTATATAGAGGTTTGTATACTCGAACGTTTACAGTATATAATATATATATATAGGGAATACCGGGGCAACTTCGGCATGCGGGGCAAGTTTGTCAAGCGCTTTTTTTTAAAAACAAATTAAAAGGATACTTTGGTTATAGGTTAGGCAGTTGANTCTAAACATGTCTCTACAACAAAGAACAGGAGACATTTCAATATGACAAATTTACTTTTTTAAATTAAAAATTTTAACATTATTTATATTCATTTATAATTGTATTTAACTAAATAATAAATTCAAACTTCTGTAATTATATTTTTAATTAAAATAAGAGGAAATGAATTTCGGATGGAATTTGACAGCTTTATTTTTATTTTATATGGAAATTTATTTGATTCGAAACAAAATATACGGAATAAAATATCATAAAATCATTATTAACGTTAATTATATTCCGTTCGAAACAAAATTAATTTATTTATAGATTAAACAAATACTTGATTATTTTAATTAGCACATCATTTTCATTAATTCCATTCCGTGTCCACTCGAATGGATGATTGATCAATTCTAAATAAATTTTTCGTGAATTTTTTCTTTTTTTTCGGTGGAAACAAAAATAAAAATAAATTAAGTCACACAAATAATTGAAACATAAGTAATTAATTAGGTTACAGCATTTTAATTTTAATATTTAATACCCAGGATGTTATTTAAATAAATTAAATATTAGAACTCAAGCCATGTAGATAAAAGAAGAAAGGTTAAAAGATATTTAAAATTATTACTAGAAAACAATAAATAATGATTAATTAATCGTAAATATTATCGATTTTGTTTTTATTTTCTCACAACTAGAGATGAGAGAATCCGAATATTCAGATCTCGAATACTTATATAACTTATTTACTTAATAATTTATATAATATTTATTATTTAATTTGTATTATTTATTTCAATATATCATTAAATTTATAAAATAAGTTCATTTATTTTCTTGTAATAAATCAAAGCAGAGATGCTGAAGAGATGTTGTCTGTACGCAGACGGATACAAGGGAATACTATTAACAAATAAATAAATAAATAGTTCAAACTCCAAAACGTTGCTTTTAAAAACATTTGTGGTGGTAAATATGGTTTATCGGATCATTCACACGTGTTACTTATTAATTATTCAAGTATTTTTAATTTTTGAGATAGCTCTTCTTTGAATACTTATGGATACACCAGTATTACTCTACTGTACACACAGAGCGGTATTTGAGGTATTAGAAGTATTTTAATTAATTAATTAATTTTTTTATCGTCGTAATATTCGAAATTTCGACAGGGTTACCAACTTTTAGAGTCGGAATTCCGAATGCAGTGTGGAAAAAACACCAACTTAAAAAAAGCGAGGAGTAAAAGAAAACCTACAATCTAACTTGGAAAGATTTTTTTTTCTTTCCGTTGTTGTTGATGATGATGATGATGATAATGATAAGCCGGATGACCGAGGAATCGGTTTTGGGGACCAGGGATCAAATACAAGTAACCCCAGAAATTTTTCGTCAGCGTTCTGTTCCGGATACATCGGGCTCTCATCCTTCGTCACTTTGCCACCCCATTGCACCCCATTGTGAGTCTGGCTAAGCCGACGATGTGTTTGGAAAAAATGTCTCCTTAGTTCACACAGAGCAATGAGAAAGACAAAAAAAAAAAAAAAGAAGTAAACTACTGTAGTGGGAATGAAAATAATTCAGATTACTCTTAAGGATGGATGAGGAAAAACGAAGCTAAAAGAAATTTTAAAATCTCCTCATTCATTTTTCAGAACATTTCCGTTTTTTTGTTTTTCAAACAATTTTTCAAACATAACTGAAATTCCGAACAATTGTTAATTCTAGCTCTCGAATCTCGAATACTTTCAAGTATTCGAGTTATTCGCTTATCTCTACTCATAAATGTATAAGAACCATTTATTCCTATACGGTTGTGAGTCTTTTGGTAAGATAAAAATATAGAAATTAATTAATCAGTTCATCAACCATTTAAAAGAATGAATAAATGAGAAAATTTTCTTGCAAATTTGATGAAATGCAAGTAATGAATTTGTAACAATAATGTACTGAACATAACTTTTAGATGTATTTTAAAATGAAAACATTATCTTACAATTGAACCTCTATTTTACGAATTCCGACGTAGCAGATTTCGGAAATAATGGACCAAACCTTATTCAAATGTATTTATCGGATTGTAAATACAGTAAATTATCTAAGGATATCGGATTGAGTGTTAATACACGGAAAGTCTGTAGGCAACGCATTGACAATATCGGAAGTGTTGTGTTACTTCCTTCGTATTTACCATCATATAAGCTATTTACATCTCTTATCACATCTCATATAAACATCGTTTTGACCATGACATTTTCGGATAAATCGGATAATCGGTTTTATCGGACTATAGTCTTCTTCTATATCGAGGATCAATAGTATTGAAAACACGTATTAATTTCATTTTCTGCCATCATAATCTTTTAGATAGGTGTAAAACTTTACATTTATTTACGTAATTTATTACTTAATTTATGTAATAATTTTATTAATAATAAGTTGATTAATTTCTGAAATTCTCTATTAATATTCTGTTAACTAGTTGAAATGTTATTGTTGTTTGTTTCACTGTCACCACTCTTATTTTTAAAAATTAATTTTAACAATAAAAATATATTAAAATAATTTCAAAATTTATACTAAATTAAAGTTTTATTATTAGTTTAATTATATTTAAATTTTTTTTATTTTAAATATTATTATATCTGGAAGATAGACTATATAGTAAAATAATACTTTTGAAATTTAAAAAAGAATTGAAATAAATAAAAAATATTAAATTTAACAATGAAATTGTTCAGCCTAGAAATACTCGCAGAATCCGGTTATTATTTTTAAATTGTAATAAGAAAAATTCCTGGAAAAAGAAAAAAAAAATTGTTTTAGTAGATCAGAAACGGTTCAAAGTATTCATTCTTGCAGTGCGGTAGAAGTTATTTTGAGAACTTGATATTCTCAACCAGCCATGAATTTTTAGTGGCGAATCTAACAAGCTTAAAAGTAGAAGATAGTCCAAAGAAACAGGCTCGAAAAGTCAGGAAACACGAGATTTGTTCCCGATGAAAATCTATATAAATTGCTTGTTTTTAGAGGTTAACTGGACTAAAACTATCTTGACCGAATGACACTGTATTGATTTTATTCTAATTTATCTCGAGGAAAAAAAACACAGTAGAAACTAGGCTTCATTTCTTTTTATTTCGCCTAATGAATGTCTTGCATAATTTTTTATGTTAAGCTGAGACGTAACAATTGCATTCTATAACTATTTTTACATGCAAATCGGAAATATTACTTTAAAAAAAAAATACTTACTAATTGCCTATTATAGGTCTTGGTATATAGGATTCGTTATCTTTAAGCTTGTCACTTTTTAAAGATAATTCTGACCCGATCAATAAATCTAAAATAAAAGAAATATTTTAATAAAATTTAATTTAAAAAATATATATATATAATTTTATTTTAAATTCTTACGATTTTGATAGGAATCTATTGCACCATTTTTTGCTTTTTTATAATAGGAAAATACGCACACAACACTATACACCTGAAAATACATTGTTTAATGAATAATATAATGCTTTTATTTTACTTTATTTTTGCAAAAAAAAAGCCATACAGACTATTCTATGTAAAATATAAAGATAGAAAACAATAATAAATGAATAAATTTCTAAAAATAAACAGTTGCTGTGTATACTGTAAAATCTATTGTATTTCTGTTTGTTATACTTTTAACGCTATTTATACAATGAATATAACTGTAAATGCATAAGATGTATGTTTTAAGATTATATATATACAGTCAAACCTCTGAACAACATTAAAAATGGTCGTTGTTCGGAGATTATTTTGTATGCATTTTAAGAAGAAACGTGGTCGTTATTGGAAGGTTCGACTGTAATATAAAGTAATTCAATTTTATAAATATTAATTTTTGATGAGCTTATTAAATACTTCTTATATTTTATTAATGTTATATATGTATACACGCATATATACATACTGTATATACATAAATGTATGTATTTGTAAGACTTTTTCTATTAATTAGAAGATTACTTGTAGATGAACTGGAAACATCATTAATATTTAAACTTTTAATGAACATAGAAAACTAAATATATAATTGATATTATATTAATTCGTTTACATTTTAACAAATAAATTATAGAATTTTCAAATATATAATTAAAAATGAACTATAAAATAGCTTAGAGCTTAAAGTGACAATCTTTCAAATATGTTCTTAATTTAATATATTATAATTTATAATGTATAATACTTGAAAATTTTAAATTAATTTAGAAGAAATTTTATTATAAATTTTTAAAAATTATAATATGTAAAAGTAATTTCATATCAAAACAAAGTAATCATTATAACTATTTGCTTGGTTTACGAAAAAAAGAAAAAGAAATCGGTTAAGTATGTAAGGTCAGTCTGGTTCGTTTTATAAATAGTTGAGAAGATTGAGGGAATGTTAGACAGACATATTCCCTGGAAAGGTTGGTGTCAAGTGAAGAAGTAGGAAGTGTTCTGTACAATCAAGCTCTAGTGAATTAAAAGGTAAACTTCCTCCAAGAGGCGTCGCCCAAGGGCATGCATTAAAATTGCAATGCATGCTGCTTCGTCATATTGTCTATCACGTTCTTTTTTTAGAAACATAACGAAGTTTTCTCAATTAATCAGCCATTAACCTAGATATTGCATTTTCATAATAATAATAAAAATAAAATAAACAATTATTAAATTTTCTCGGAGATAATAATTAACTATTTTTACTTTTTTTTTATGAATAAATAATTAGAAAAAAATTAATACATATATTTTGAATGCTGAGACACTTCTTTTTCTCGATTTAACAATGGACATATTGTGTTTTATGTTACCTTAACCTTTATTATAATAAACATTAAACTTCTTATAATTTATCTTAAGGGTAACTTTTTATAAATTAAGATTTTCCTTAAAATAATTCTCATGAAAAAAAAACATGAAAATTAACTTTGTTTTATTAAGTTTTATTTAATTTATAAAGCTTAAATTCAAGTAACTCACCCTCAACCCCGTTAGAAAACCAATAACTACAATGACCAGAATGTCTGTAGCTCCACAACTAGACTGAAAAATAATTCATTTTACATTAAAAATCATGTATAAAAATATCAGATATGATAATGTTAGATAAATAAAATTATATACATTAAATTTATTCACTCAACATTTTTTAAAACAAATATTATCTCTATAAATTATACATTATATATATATTTTTTTCCATTCCAAACTGATAACGTTTGGGTAAAAAAATTATCTCTAAAAATTTAATTCTGCATATTAAAACATTGAACCTTCTGAAGCAATGAATGATTTGGAGTTGAAATTTAAATATAAATTTTTAAAGTATTTTTATGTAAGTGTATTAATCTGTAAAATAAACCTATGTACACCCCCCAAAAATGGCTTACTATTCAAATATATGCTTTTGAAGATAAAAAAAAAAGGCATTAAGCATCACACTTTTTCAAAGTTTACTCGCTTTTCTGGAAGAATGCCCTGATAATATTTAAAATTAAAAATATAAAATAACCATATTTAATTATTAATAAGCATCATTTTATAGTTTAAATCTTTTATTATTATTTTATAAACTAAGGATGAAATAACGTGACTTAAAACCAATATTTTGGGTCATATAATGTTGAAAAAATTCGATTCAAATCCAACAATTTTACTTAAAAGTTTTAATCGTAATTAAAAAATAACATTAAATTTATTTTTAATTAATAAAAATTCGTGTTTTTTTGGGGAGTAATAAACTTCAATGCGCAAATATTAATGCAAATATAGACCTACATACGATACTATAAATCACAATCTAATCGATATAGAGATCCATTGGAAAAAAATATATATATACTGTATATATAGGTTGAATTTCATAAGAACCTTAAAAATATAAAAACTAGAAATGAAAGCTTGCATAAACTTTAAAAATAAAGTAAAAATTAATTATGTTAAAAGCAATATCTTAGAATTATTTAGACTTGTTTATAAAATGGAACAAAGTAAAAATTTGATGTAAGACATTATATACTTTTAATGCATTATCGATTGAATCGCATTTCGACTTTAACTATTTATAAAAGTTTTCATCGTATTAAATATGAAGGAAAATATCTTTTTTTTTTTTTTTTTTTT